TACTACAGTTTGCTCAACTGAAACTCTTTGGAAAGCAGAATTTCTTTTTCTTTCATCCCAAACACTCATTACTTTCTGTATCTTACCTCCTCTGAAATAAATGGCTGTGCTTTCACTGACTTCAGCGGGGAGATATCTGATTACCTGACTGTTTTCAAATATGCCTGGAGGTCACAGCAGGAGCCATTTTTCAGAAAGGTTCAGATTCCACCCCAAGCCCTGAGTGTACACCCAGGGGTTTCAAAAGGATACGGCAGAGAAGGTTAAGCTATCCAGAAGTTCTTCTATAAATATTGATGAGGGAGCTGTGGGGAGCTCCGCGTTGCTGAAAGATGCTACTTTCATTTGAAAAAAATGCAACAAGGGAATGCAAACTGAATTCTTTTGAAAACTCAGCCATGTTTGTGAGTTCTGAGCACCTGAGAATGTGATGCAGAGCAGGGAAAACACTTTATTGATAATGTGACTGTGATGAAACCTCCGTGGAAGAACATCAGTCTGCAGCAGAGGAACATTGGTGCCTGCACAGCTTGTTTTGGAACATTTCCAGCAATTCTAACAAGCTCCCTGTGTCCTGGCATCTCCCTGTGCAAGCTGACAATTCCGTGCTTGAGCAGGACAAGGCCACTGGGGCTGTTGCTGGGCAGAGCCATGGGCAGCACTCGGCACAATGCACAGGGAACCTGGATGGAATCTTTTGCAGCTGCCTCAGGGCGGAGGGATCCACAGGGAGATTATCTGCACAGGAATATTAAAATGTTTGTGAGAGAGTTTATCTTAGCACTTTTGAATTATATCTCCAGCTTGCACTAGAAACATGTATTGCACTGAATATAAGGCACTTGACTGTTGAACAGCTTATCTGTATTTGTTCTCTTTGGAACTGTTTTGTCAGCTGAATCACTGCTAAGAGCTGAGCAATACCAGGCAAACAAGCTGGGTTGCACATTTCTGGAGGGAGAGTGATTATCTTCATTCATACTTTTCATACCTAAAGGGTTTGGTGACCTCTGGCGAATTTGACCATCTGCCTTATGGAATGGGCCATGTATTATCCCAGGGTCTTCACTAAGGAACTAGAGAAACTGAATTTCAAATGACTTCCCAAGGCATTCCCATGACTTCCCAGGGCACTATCTTGTGTGCCTGGTAATGTCTGGCTGAGCCATTCAATTTCGTGTTCAGATTTCTTTGCCAAAGAAATGATTTTGCCTGAAGGAACAACTTCCAGAGCTGAGATATATGGATTCATAATATGCATTGTTTAATATTAACACATGAAAACACAGTGTGTGTTCCTATTATTTCATAGAATCATAGAACCATGGAATCATTAAGATTGGAAAAGGTCTCTAAGAACATGTAATCCAACCATCAGCCCATCACCACCATGCCCACTAGCCATGTCCCTCAGTGCCAGTGTGCCACATTTGACAGAAATGTCATATGCAGAATGAAAATGTAAACTCTGACAAGTTCATATTTTCTTTTCCTATTTTCAATTTTAATTTCAACAGACACATTTCATTTAAGATTATAGTAAGAATTGTATATCTTTATGTGTCATTGGATTCACCCGAAGTATATTCGTATTCTCCCATTCACTTCCAAAGTGAAACTTATTTTCCTGTTTTCTTCATGTTAGTGGAAAAATCAAAAATGCCCCACATAAATAAGTATTGACGACTACACTCTTTTGAAATACTTTCATTAGTCTGTAGATTTGTGCCACACAGTGGCTGTTGAAGTCTGTGTTCAAAACATTTATCCAGGGAAACCTCTTTGGTTGTAGTACGGTTAAATGCTAAGTAAAAACTAGGAGCATTTTGAATATCTACTTCAGAAATTTAATTATATCATGATTCAAAATTCATAGCCTTCAGTATCTGTAAGAATGCTACTTAATTTCTTGCAAATGCTATTGGACTTGTGCTCCAATCAGCTGGAATATTTTATGCATAATCATGGGATGCTCAGTGCCTATAATTAACAATTGTGTGTCAATTTGTCAAGCAACATGAAAGAAAAATGGGAGCACAAGCCATGCTTTCATTTCTCTATGGGTCAGCAAATATTTTTCATTATAAATCCCATTTTCCAGCAGAGTTCCTGAAATTACTTTGATATTTAGTCCTTTAAAAACAAACAGTGGCCAGTGTGAAATTACATTTGATCCTGACTGGAAACTCTCCAGGATTCAGAGTATTTTATTTCAACTTATGGTTTAGTAAATAAGGGAGAGCAGTCATTTTTTTATACAGTCTCTCAGAAATATCTGGCAGGTGGCTAAATGGTTCTTTTCATTTGTGGTTAGACCCTAACCTGGCAAATTGGGTCAGGATCAGCTCTGTTTTTATCCTTGCAACTGCCCAGTTTTCTCCTCTTTTCTTTTTTGTTTCACAATTCATTCAGTGCTGATAGCTTTATAAGTGAGGGCAGCACATGATCATCCCATTAATTTCTGAGAACCTTGACTTTAAATCACAATCAGGCATCTGAAGGAAGATAATTAAGACAAACAAACAGACAAAATCAATCGACGGTCCCAGCAATCAGTTGCACATCCCCTGCTATTGGAATAGAGCTGTTTTAATTACATCAATTTTCTTCACAAGATGAAAAACCCACTTCTTTGTAGCAAGGAAACAAATTTCAACAGAGACAGGTACTGAAACAGTTAAGACATTTAGTCTAACACGCTTCACTGGACTGTCCATGTAAATACAATTGATATAATACAGGAAGGCTCTGCAGACTGCTGGGTTGCTATCCCGCCTGCCGAATCTGTCCATCTCAATATACATCTGTGGTTTCTAGAGGGAGCAGGTCTGTAAGCAGAGTTTAGCAACTTGCTGCATTCATTTTGTACACCCGTCATCTTTTTCAGTCTGAAATCCCACTACAGCAATGCTGCTTTAGAAGCAAGGGTTGGTTTTGCCTTATTTATAGCAGATAATACTTGTGTTGGGCCTATACACAGAACAAATGTAAATAAAAATGTAATCTCTCTTGAAAATTGAGAAACTGAAGTAGTTTTCCCATTTTCTTTCGGGGGAAGGGGAAGAGGGGTATAACTGATGTTATCCCATTAAACCTCCAGTTACAGCAGTTGAAATTGCTGGACACCAGACAGTGTAGTAGCTGAAGAGTCTTGCAGAGCTGCCTTCCCAGAGGAGATTCATATCTTGCAGATCTCTGCTAGTGACCCTGTATAAGTACTTTCATATGCCTGTAACCAAAGAAAATACAGGAGAACCCATTTTAGCAGAGAAAAACATGGAATTTCTTTTGTCAACTCAGCTGACTTGGATGTTGCACAACTGAGGTGAATTTAAGTCCTAAAAACGGAAAAGCAGGGGATCATCACAGCTAACCTGAGAAACTGGGGTTTGTTTGTGGAGCTTCCTTATCACTTTTATGTTTTGTGTATGATTTGTAGCTATCTGCTGAACCAGAAAGCAAATGAGATTGAAGGGGGATGTGGGCAAATCATCTTGTCTGTGAAGTGGTGCCCCTCAGCCCTCTTTGTAAAGAACCGCTTGCTGGGGTTGGAGAAGTTACAATTGCAAGACTCCATGAGTACATGAGCCTTTTGATAATGCTGTCAAATAAATGCCACATAGTGGCTCATTCGGTGGATTCTTTTCTCACTGGAACACTGCTAAAACTTCTAAGAGGTTTATGTAACTGCTATTAGACAGAAATATGTTCTTTTTCTAAATGGGATTAAGTCCAAGATTCAGTCCTTAAAGATTTTCTACATTCGTCAAACTATCACAGTCCATTTCCTGTGTGTCTGTGCACACATTTATTTTCACTGCATTCTACTTTAAAATTATTAGTGAAAACTTTTCTTTCTTACCTCTTTTTTGATCTTTCTGGTGTACTTCACCCTTCTATGATCGACTTCTCTACTTTTTCTTATGCAGAAATTTAATACGGATGAAGACCATTCCAGTGGAGCGTAGCAGAACTGTATTTTGATGTGATGATATACCCCAGGGTATTTGACCCAAGATTGGAAATAAATCTTTGATTTCATGTTGGATGACTCATATCAGGAAGCAACATTTTGTGATGAACATGTTTTTTTTTTGTGTGTGTTTTAAATGTCACTTCTGTATTGCAAGTATCAGTTGTGTATTTATGACAAAGCATTGACCACAATAGTGCTTAATAGACAAGCTTGTCATTGTGGTACTACAGTTCAGATTTAAACAGTTTCTTCTTGAAAACTGTATTTAGAACATCCTCCACTGCTATGATAATCACATCTCTATTTCTATGCCTCTGGTGAGGGCTCCATGTATTCAAGGTGGATATTAGGAGAACTGCACTATTGAAGATAGTAAAAATAAGCTTCAGAGTGAAATGGTTCAAAGCCAAGCCAGAGTGGTAGCCATGAAATGGAATAGCCATCTGACGATGAGTGAGATGACCTCTTAGAGGTCTCATTCAAAGTACTGTTAAAGTGGATTTCATCTTATTAAATGCAAATAATGAATCATTAACAAAATTCATACCAAAAAAAAAAAAAAAAAAAAAAAAAAAGGTGTTTTTTCATACCTCTGTTTAGAAAAGCAAGTGCTCGAACGTGTCCTTTTCACCAGGTTTAGGAAAGGACATTACAGACAGTTTTGCATCTCTCCCTAGCCAGGAGATGAAAGGCGATCAGATTTGGGATACAAAGCTTGAACCGTTGCTTGGTATGTGGCATTCAGAGACATCCAGCCTCTTCATATAGGCTTCCTCTTAGAAGTCTTTGAGGCTTTTCCGTTCCACTTTTCCCACTGGAAAGCTGTTTCCAAACTCAATTAATGGTTAGGAACTCTATTTGCATTCCTAGCTTAAATATATTCACGAACAACCTTTATCCATTTGTTTTGTGACACCATTACCTTTTATCTTGAATAGTTCTTTATTAATAATTAATAGAGTATTAATTAATAATTAATAGAGAGCAAACATATCCTCCCTTACCTTCCTCTCAGCTGTTCTTCTTCATTTTGCTAGACTAAACAATCTAAGCTCCTCTAATCTCCCTTCAAGAAAAAAAAGAAAAAAGAAAGCCTCTTTCCAAACTGATTTTTGTAGCCTTTTTCTACACCTGTTCTGTTTTCATTTTGTGACGACAGTGACCAAACTCCAGCTTGCAAAACACATTTGGCTTATGAGCTTTTGCAATGTGACTCTCTTGCTGATTATCCAGCGTTAAGTGCTGCTGCCCAAAACATAAGAAAAACATCTTGCTGGCAATATGAGGTAAGAAAATAAAATGAACAGGCACAGGGTCAACATACACCACTCTCGTATGTGTGGTGCTTTTGATAGGAAGTAGCAGCTTCCAGCTCTGCTGTGTATTCCGTGTTGTCTGCAGGAGCTGTGGGCTGAGGATGTAGAAGCAAGGAAGGATGTGCAATGGGAGGTGAGCAGGGAGGCTGGTGAGGTTGCAGGGAGGCACAAAATGGGAAGGCAGAGAAGACGCATGCAGCCTTTGGGCTGTGAGCAATTTGCAGTGGGCTTGTCAAGTGTTGCTCAGATGGCATGTTAATAAACATGGTCTAGAGCTCAGCTGTCCTGCTGGCGTTAACACCCAGGATTTGTCTGTCTGGCAGACTGCAGTAACACCTGAGCAGTGTGAACACAGGAACCATGGTGCTCTGAGGCTATGGTGTGATATTCCACCTGGGCTGATCAGCCTTTCTCACATGGCTGGGCTTCTCCCAGAGCCAGGGCTAGTTGCTGTGGTCAGTGTGACCTTGGCTATCCCAGCCAAACACTGTAGGCTTAGATGATGGGCATATAAACAGTGAAATCTCCCATAGTCCTGAATATTTGTCAGGTACGTAAATATCTCAGATTATTTTCCTTAAATTATCCCTATGGGGATCGTTCATGCAGCATTTTTATAACTAGTTTCTGCATAAAATATAGTCCTGGTGTTCAGGTTATCTTTTATGTAGTCAAACATTTTCTTGTTTGCATGCTAATCTAAATTCTCCATCACTGAGTAACTTCAGCAGCCAGAGTGTGGTTTTGTTATGGTGCTTTGCTTTGGAAAAGAAAATGAATGTGTCTGCTTTTCCTAATCATAAATTCAGTCTCCTGTTTCTTTGTTATAGCTCTTTTGATGTGCACAAAACTCCAAATCTGTTTTTTGTGAAATTTAAATAGCAAATGTATTTAAGAACTCGTGCGTATTAGCAGTAAATTCTCTGGAACTGGATAGTTGGCAAAAGCTGGGGCAACGTTTGTGTTCAAAGAGCTTTTTCTTTTTTCATACGTCAGTTTTGACTGGGCCTGAGATACTGTTTCCGTCCTCAAAATAAGTACAGGATTTGCTATTTTAAAGAGGTGAATTAAGACTTTTAATTTACTTCTTCTGGGGGCCTCTTTTTGTTTCATAGGAGAGTGTAATTCTGGTAAAGAAGCATGGATGATATGGGATTTCCAGTTTGCTTGAATACGCTGGGTTGTTGCAAAGTTTAGAATATGAGTCTGTCTCTCTGAGGAGCATTTTAGGTCACAGAAATGAATAGCACTGTCACTTTTGTGTATATCTCACCCTGTAATGCGAGGAGCAGCAGATGTCTCAGCACTTAACACACAGCCATCATTATATCTATATCTATGTATGCATTATATGCACCTCACTGCATGTCCCCACACTTGGTCAACCCAGGTGTACAAACTCTCAGTTGCAATCTGATTGCATGTGACTGCAGCTGGCTTCTCTAAACTAACCTGTTTTTAATTTGCCAACATGCCTGCTGTCATGACTGCATTCATGGTTATGAACAGTGAACTGCTTCTTTGCCGGAGAGCAGTCTGATACTCTTAATTATAGACTGAGTATAGACTATGACTATGCCTCAGCTCTTGCTTTTGAGTGAGAGAAATTAGATTGCAGATGTGGTGTCATTGCTAGCATTTGGTTGCACCCAGTTCATTTTTCCTTGAGCTAAGTCAATGGCAGGAGGAGTGTTAAAGATAAAATAAGTGCAGTCATAGAGTTGTAGAATCACCAAGGTTGGAGAAGACCCCAAGATCATCCAGTCCAACTGCCCATCTACTACCACCAATATTTCCTCCCTTAACCACGTCCCTCAGAGCAACATCTAAATGTTTATTGAACACCTCCAGGGACAGTGAATCAGTCACCTCCCTGGGCAGCCTGTTCCAGCGCCTCACTATTCTTTCAGAGAAGAGACAAATACAAGAAGAGTTTGGTTCTCCCATGCAGGCAGCAACAAGCTGGGCTGGTGCATTCTTCTGCAGAGATTCTGCCCAAAGAGAGTATCAGGGAGTAAGTAAGGGACTTAGGGACTTCACTGTGGATCTTTGGGGCCTAAAGTGACAGCTGCAGCAACTTTTATGCCTCAGTAGGTATCCATGACTAAGATGTAAACAGATGATGTCAATTGAGTGAGGAATTGTGGTGTCACAGAACCCCAGCACAGAGTGGCTTGCAGGGCCCACTAAAACCACCTGCTTCAGCTCCTGCCCTAGCAGGGGCATCCAGAGCAGGGTGCTCAGGGAGGATCCTCCTGTCTTCTAGTTTGTGCTCATTGCTTCTTATCCTGACACTGAGGGCTGCTGGTATCCCTGAGGTAGATGTAACAACTGTCCTCGGGAACTAGCAGGGCTAAGTGAAGCAAGAGCATGACTTAGTCTTGTATGTGGTTATGTCTAGGCGAGATCCGAGGCCAACTAGTTGTTAATGCCTCCTGTTAGATGACATCCATATTTTGTGCTTCAGGGAAAATCTCTGAGGCCTAATATTGTGTGCCACCCATAATGCTGCTTCAGTAGCTTCTCATAATCTAATCCCACTTCTGATTTGTATTTTTTTCCCTTTTTTTCTCCTTTTTTTTTTTTTCTTTGTGGATTTTTTTTTCCTATGAAGCTTTAAGTTCCAGACAAAAAAAAAAAAGTTAAAAAAAAAAAAGTAACAAAAATAATTTGCTGTAGCAATATCTGGAACAAAAATTGGATCAAATGAATTATATGCATTTATACTCACAGTCCTAATTTATATGATGGATTAATCACCTTTTCCATGTGAATTATGTCATCGCTTCCAAAATAATAGCTTAGTTTACATGGAACTATTGAAGCCGTAGACAGCTGCCTTATTAACTGCTTGTTCATAACAACTCTATGAAACTAGAACTTTAGTCAATAGTAACAGTTAAATAAAGTGCAAAAAAAAGCCAAGAGACCCCTCTGTACTACAAATGATCACTTTCATCCAGACAACGTCATCATTTTTTAATTATGTTTTGCTCATTTTTTCTCTATGGGACTTGTTGAGTAAAGTGATTACTTTATTGGTCACAGTTAATTAGGACATGTAAGATTTCCCATCAAATGTAGGAAGGCCAAATAGTGGCAGATGCAGATCTTATTTCAGCTGTGTCCTGTATTTAAAGGAAAAACAGCTGGGAGCAATAGTTAGTATCATTAGTGACACCCAGCCAGCACATTTAGTCCTTTTGATTCTGTTGTAAATGTGAAAAAATCTCAGTTTGCAAAATAGAGGGACCAAATGTTTTTTTGTTTTTTTTTTTTTGTAATAGCTCATTGCTGGCACCTAATATCGATATTTTATTTGAAACTCTAAATGAGCACATTCCAAAACAGGGTAAGTTTAGATTAATTACTGTGTGCTTTTCAAGGAGCCAGGGAAAATTGAACTTTTGCAAATTTTACCCAAAATCATTACCTATAGGAGACAAGAATAGGGGAAGATGCAAAAAAGGGAAGCCTTCCCAACTCTTTCTGAAGGGCTTTGTATAAAAAAAAATAGAGTAACTATTATTAAATGATTGTTTCTGCAAAAGTATTTGTTTGTGCTCTCTAAGGTATAATAAATATTGTCCAAAAGGCAAAATGTGCAATTCTGTAAGACAGACTTAAAACACTACAATCAAATCTTCCAGCCTACTGAGAGTGTTCAGTCTACCATAATTTAGTGTGTGTCATTAATAACTGACATGCTTTACTGACATATTTCTTTTTCCATCTTGTGTATGAAACTTTAATCCAATTGATCTTAGCATACTAAAAGTATGATCATTTGCTAGGAAATTCATTCAGAAAGAATTAAAAAAAAAAAAACCAAACACTGAAAAAATGCAATTCTGAACACGGAACAACAACAGTAGACTTCCAAAACTGTGTTTTCTGTGACATTTACAATTTTCCATCATCTTCATGTAGAACTGTGACATGTAAGCTCTTTTCCCAACACAAATTTGGGTTATAAATCTTAAGTCTCCAATGCCATGTTCTGGAATCAATAAAAGGAAATGAAAATTCTGTTGAGTCAAGTGGGGCTTTTTTTTTTTTTTTTTTTTTCTTCTGTTGCTGAGGCAACTTCTGACTTTTATTTAGTGGCTTAGTCCCATTGACTAATGTAAGAGCAGCCATACTGGGTCAGAGCAAAAGGTAGCCTAAGCCAGTAATCTGTCCTTGAATTATGAAATTACAAAACAATATGAAATTAGTGCCTAGGAAAGTGTACACAAACAGGACAGACAGGTGTGGTTATTTGAAAAGAAAGAAAGAGAGAAAGAAGGGAAGAAAGAAAGAAGAAAGAAAGGAAGAAAGAAAGAAAGGAAGAAGAAAAGGAAGAAATAAAGAAGGAAGGAAGGAAGGAAGGAAGGAAGGAAGGAAGGAAAGAAAGAAAGAAAGAAAGAAAGAAAGAGAGAAAGAAAGAAAGAAAGAAAGAAAGAAAGAAAGAAAGAAAGAAAGAAAGAAAGAAAGAAAGAAAGAAAGAAAGAAAGAAAGAAAGAAAGAAA